GGGGGGGAGAAACACCACGGGGGGCTCACCTCGTCTGGCTGGCTCTCCACCTTGGGGTTGCTTGCCGTCCGCTTCAGGCCGCTGCCCAGGCTAACGCTGGCGGCCGCGTCCGACTTGGAGCGCTGGTGGGTGCGCTTGGAGGGGGACAGGCCCGTGTCGGGGGCTGACGCTGGCGGCGGGGGTTGGTGGTGGGCAACAGCCCCGGGCTCCTTCCGGCGGGTCCCCACCCCCCCGCCCCCCGCCGCCGCTACGGGCTTCAGCTCGTCGGAGAGGATGAGCTTGCGGAGCTTGGTGCCGCGGGAGTGGTGCTGGGTGGAGATGTGCATGTCTGAGGAGTAGGCCCCCAGGAGCCAGGCACACTGCAGCGAGAAGTCGATGCTGTGGCGGCAGCGGTGCACCACGTAGGGTTTGATGGCGTCGCCGACGTCGTCGTCCATGTGCACGTACATGTTGAGGAGCTGGGGCAGATAGAAGCCCACCTCATCATGGCGGAAGCTGAAAAGACGGTTGCCGATGTAGGCCTGAACACCAGGCTCCTTGGAGTTGTACAGGTACGAGATGGCCATGGAGATGTCGAACAGCTTGGACTCGAACAGCCGAAGCAACCAAGACTGTCTGGCTGGGTTGTAACGCTGGCGCCGGCGCGCGGCCCTCACCGTGTGACAGGCCCGCTGCGCCGCGCCCTCTCCCTCCTCCTCCTCCTCCTCCTCTCGTATGCGGCAGGCCGACAGCCCGTTGGCGACCGGAGGGGGGCTCCCCACCTCGGCGTTGTCCTCCGGTGCCGCGGCACCCCCTCCTCCTCCTCCTTCTTCCGAGCAACTCCCCCTCAGCTGCTTGACCTTGGCCAGCACCTCCTGGCAGGTCCTGCGCGCCACCTCGGAGTCGATCAGGCCCTCGCCGAGACCCTCCCGGATCACGCAGAGGGACCCCTCCCCCGCGGCTGTGTCCCCCATCGCCGGGTGGCGCTCCCCGGGGCCTGCGGCACATGTGGGGTGGGTGGGGGTGAAGGGGGGTGAGGGAGGGAGGGAGGGAGATGGAAACAGCAGACGTTAATTTCACGTAGGTGCATTGGCGTAGCGCCTTTCGCAGCCCACGGGACAGCCGAGTGAGGTCACCTAGGCACAGTAAGATCCCACTGACAGCAACATGAGGGGCGACTTTTTTTTGTTAAAAAAAAATTGATGTCAGTCGGAGGAAATAAATTCCTTGGAAGCCTGGGCATGTCCCGCTCTTCCCCGCTCCCCCCCCACCCCCCGCCCCCCCCCCCCCCACCCGCCCCCTTCCCGCCAACCCCCCCGCCCCTCCCGACAGCGTCCCGCCAACCCGCCCGCCCCTCCCGACAGCGTCCCGCCAACACGCCCGCCCCTCCCGACAGCGTCCCGCCAACACGCCCGCCCCTCCCG